GCCAACCTCCGTAGCGAGATGGCACCTGAAGAAGAAGAAGAAGTTGTGATACAGTATCCTTAATATTGCAGCCAAATAGCATATTTTTGACACTTTCTAACGGAGTATCGTTAACTGTAATTTGGGCGTTTATGCCGTGTTTTTACTAATGATTATTATTTTTGTCTTCTTGCAATTAAGTTTTAGGCCATATTTGTTACATGCTTCTACAACGTTATCCATCATCCTTTGAAGCCCCTGCGCACTATCTGCCAGCAACACTGTATCGTCTGCATATCTAATGTTGTTTATAAGTTGGCCATTTACAGCAATCCATCTTCTGATTCGTCCAAGGCCTCTCTAAAGATGTTTTCAGAGTATATGTTAAATAATGCCGGTGACAATATGCAACCCTGTCTAACTCCTTTTTTGACTGTGAAGATCTCGGACAGTTCATTTTCTAATCGTACTGTTGCTTTTTGTTGGAGATATAAGTTTGAGATCAGTCTTATATCCTTACCATCGAGTCCTGATGTTTTTAGGATATCGATTAGTTTCCCATGTGGGACTTTATCAAATGCCTTCTCGAAATCAATGAAACATGCATACTAAATTTGCAAACTAAAAAGTGCTTTCCTCGTTCCGAGTCCTGCTCTGAATCCAAATTGAACTTCACTCAGGTGTTCTTCTAATTTGGTGTATATGCGCGAGTGAATGATAGTAAGGAGTACTTTAAGTACATAGCTCATGAAACTAATTAATCCATGTTCTTCACATTTTCTAGCGTTCATATTTTCGATTTCCTTGCCACTGAATATATAATTTACTCTTCTCTTTTAATTTATTTGAATGTTTTTTTTTTCTATCATCAGGTTTCCTTATTTTCAAATTTTTTTCTCCAAATTGTATTAGGACTTCCTTTCATGTTTTATTATACTTTTTTTTACAATGTTTGCCCCAAATGGACTTTTTTATCTGTGAACATCTACCCCTTGATTTTTTATAATCTTCATCGATATTTTGGTTTAGTTTCTCTTTTTACTTTGATGTACAGAAAGTTCCAAAAAATAAGTTATGCTGTTGGCTTACTACCTGACGATCTATTACCTTGCAATAATTACATGCATGTGTATCTTTTTTTCTTGCCAAGAAATATTCTATTTGAAAGTGAATCTCTCTTTTGTCTTTTGTACGTAATAAGTAAATTTTTATCTAATAAACTAATGTGTTACCCATCGCCATATATAATGCTGTTGCCAATTTAACATATTATCTTCAGCTTGAATGCTAAATTCAAAGCCTAGTCCTCCTTGTATTGTTTCAGATCCTGTGTTGAATTGGCCCAAATGTGCATTAAAATCACCCATTGGACTTTCTTCTTTGATGTAATATCACTCAGGGTGATACCTAATTGATTATAAAACGTTTTCTGTCATTCTGACATAACCCATTTAAGGAGCATACACACAATACATTCAATAATTCTTTATAAAGAACAAACTTTACTTCACATTATTGTGTTACTAATTCTTACAACGTCTAATAGGTTATGTGTCAGCACTGTCAGCAAGAACTTCATTTCTAGTCTTACTTTTCCCTACATACCACAGTCTGCAGCTTTCACCTAGTCCTTTTGCTCCTTGTTTCTAGTTCTTAAATAAAAGCAATTTGTACCCTCTCCTTTTAAGCGTATCTACTAACTTCACTGTGGCCCCATGTGCTTTCAAATGAAGGTCTCTAATTAGTGTATACTCCCAGACCAAATGTGTAGAGCAAAAACATTGGTTCTTACCCTAAAAGTAACCAATAAAATACAAGTGGCACAAAGAGCATGTGTAAGGTCAATGTTAAATAAATCCCTCAGAGACAGAGGTTAAAATAAAATAAGAGAAAAACTAGTGTTACGGAAGTTATTAAAAGAATATAAATGCTGAAATGGGTATGTATGTTGCTAGATATGTAGAATATGGAACAAGAAAATTTTAGGATGGATACCTAAATATGATGGTTATCGTAATCGAGGGTGGAACATAGACAGGGTGGAACCTATGAATAAATTTTACTATGTAGCTGATAAACGACGGAAGTGACGTCACATTACTAGCTACAATGTCAGATGTTAATTTCATAAGTGAATAACGTGAAAATACTTATCCATTATCATGTCCTGCATGGCTTAATTAACACACCACCATTGCCACCAAAGTAAAGTATTCATGAATTTTTATATAGGCCAGAATCCCTACTGTAGGGAATATCTTATAAGCTAATGATTTGTTGCTGCATCATGCCACTAGGAGGCTCGGAATACCTATTTCTGACTTATTGATCGTATTTTCCACTTATTTTCATATCTCTTCTCCTAGTTACTACTTGGTCCGAAAATTAGATTTGATTGTACAAGTATAGTACGACTTCCAAAATGCATTACTTTTTTGCTCTCATTTGTTCACATACATAAATGTAAGATGATTTTTAGATTTTTGATTTTTGTACTTAGATTAGGTAACCTTTATCAATC